TTCCTGCTGCTCACTTCAACCAGCATTCCCTGGAGGACTTGTCAGCTGCCCTCACTTAGGAGTGCCCTGAGGCTGTTTTAATTTGAACCAAACAGCATATAAGGACTATTCACTCACCCTCAGACATCATGATTTTTTCTATCCTTCCACAAAGACAAAACAGGGCATTGGGTCCTTGTTGAGAGGCAAAGATTTTTGGGGAGTGCTGCTGTAGATTGAAACAGTAAAAACTTCAAATAAAAGAAGAAGACTGAGCAATCATACAAGACAAATACCAACTGGCCAGGCGATTTCAGAAGAGAGAATATTAAAGGATTGCAAGTAGCCCAGGAGCACTGTGACAGCACAGGTAGCACAAAGGGCCTTATGCTAGGCAAGGACCAGGGCAGGATCTCGGGTTCCTCTGTTGGTGAGACTAAGCTATCCATTTTGAGAAGAGGCTTTAAATTATAAATTTCATCAGAAGCTTGATTCCAGAGGAGTCTTGATCAGGTCAATGCAATATTCAGTCCTGATAATTCTATATTAAACAATTTAATGTCCAATATTAAACTATAATTTTCCTTTAACAGGGTTTAAACTTGCCTGAGCTAGGCTAAGAACAGCATCAGGGAGCTCTAGCTATACATTGGCATCCTCTGCTTTCACCAAGCTGCCTTCCTGTGCGAACATATGGTGCTGGCCCCTATACATCTGATATCCCCCCTCATGTTTTGTTCATACCAAATTTAGCATTGCCATTGCAAAACTCTAAATACTCTTAATACTCTCTTGGCTCTCATTTTTGATCTTTGAGGTCTCAACTTTTTCACTCAGAAATGCAGGGCTGGGACATCCCAATGCACTGGTTGTACAGTCACTACACAAAAATGATAGAAGGCAAAGTTTCATAGCAGGGTATTGTTGTTGAACAGTTATTTATTACCAAGAAATACTCACTGTTATTAAGCTCTAGATAGCAATTGCTCCTGATTTCAGACATCTCTATGTCCATGCCACTTCCACCCTCTCCTCCGGTCTTCTCCCACCACTTGCCATTAACACAATGAATCTGCTGCTTAGATCAATGTGCCTGGGACCCACAGGGCAGATGAGAGAGGTATGGATGATAGATGTAGAACGAGGGGCAAAAGAGAGGTGGAGAGCTGTCATAAAGGACGAGGAGGGACAGGCATAGAGGCAAAGCCAAGGAGGGGATGTGTAGCTCAGAAGAGCCAAGAGCTGAGCAGGAAATAGCATGTTCTTACTGTGTGTGGCTAAAAGCCTTAGTTGCTATTTGAGGCAGATAAACCCAGGGTCCAGGATACCAGATTTTATTGTAGAAAACTGAAAGAATATTCAACATTAATTCAGCATTAAAAAAATAATATAGTCACTGTTTTGGCAGTGTGGGCAATTTAGGAGGGTCACCTGACAAAGAGGAGGCCTTGAAAAAAGTAATTTTATTCTCATATCATCACCCTGCAGGCATTTCCCCTGGGTCCATCCCACAGCTCTTCTACCGTCCTCCCACCCCTGGCTGTCTACAGTAAGATTTATTCAATCAGCCCCTCAGTGCTTCACTGAAAAGCATATTGTCACTTTCTTCTATTCAGAAGAGATCATCAGAAGAACTCTAGTTTTAAAACATGGTGGAAATGATTCATAAAAAAAGAATATCCACTGTTTTTTCTTGGTTGCAAGTGCCACAGAAGTAAAGTGGTGCTGTATTTGCAGGCAACTTTCAAACATCTCTAAATTCAGTGCTACGAAGACTCTGTTGCACAAGCTCAGCTGGAGAGGGCAAGGCACAGACGGCAGACAAGGTCACTCTGTCAACGGGGAACATGCTTTATATGCTGAGCAGCACAGGGCTGGAAGAAGGCAGACAACAAGGGCTTGACGCATCTGAAGCGTCGCTCAAAGTTGAGTCAAGGTTTCTCCTTGTGGAGGTACCTGACAGCTGCAATCACCTTCCTATTTCATGTCAGCATTGATTTCAACTCCAGGTCTTGCAATTCTTCCTGTAATTTATTCAGTTCATACTGATTCACTACATAGAAACAGGTGGAAAAAAATCCCCTCTGATGGAAAACCATGGTTACAGATCTAAGATCCAGCCTTGCTATATTGAAAGCAAGGGGAAAGTCATTCTTGTCTTGAAGGCAACCCCTTGACCACTAGGAAAGTCCAAAGTTATAGGTCTCAGCTCTGTCCTCATTTACCTCTGCTAAAATCCAGACTGACATTTCACGTTTACAAGCTTCAGATTGCTTTTTAAGCAACCAGCTCCTCTGCTTCTGAGATCAGCGTGAGGATAAAAGTAAATGCAGTCCCATGTTTAGCACTGCAGAAAATGAAAAGGTGGAAAAGGAAAGCAAAATGAAGTGTTAGTTTATAAAACTTTTTTTGCTTCTTCTAGTGCACAGGTGAATTGGAAATGTATCTTACATAAATTTCAGTGAGATTAGTTACGAAACGTGTTCTCTGTCACTCTTTTAAATTGCATCTTTCGATAATGTTCCATCTCCTACAGCTAATCCTGGATTTATGGAAAAAAAAACCAAAACCAAACCAACAAACCCAAACACAGAACAAACAAACACAAAACCCAAAAAAAGCCAACTGGGTCCAACACTGCTAAAGACATGGAATATTTCAGACTGTGTATGCACCCAAGGAGCCCTTCAGTTACTGTGCATATTATATTACCCCTCCAGAATGTAGGCAGGAATTAGCTCAGTTAACATTCAGATAGTTTTAAGCTGTGAGATATTTGAGGATAAATACATATATTTTTAACAAAAAAAAAAAGTTACAATATGCATTTTTATTTTAGTTGCCTTAAAATCGGGCTTGCTCTTGTTAGAGTAGGTTTCTTACACTTTGCTACAGCAAAATGTATTTCCCAAATGTGGGGTTTTGTAGTGAAGATTAAGGACTGCCTGCAATTCAGCTCTGATTTAAGTAACCAGCAATTTTGTCTCCTTTGTGCTGGAAGATCCCACATTTCCACTCCTTCTCTCAGTCCCAGAGTAGCCTATGCAGCAACAGACAGCTCTCCTCCCATCTGCCTGCTCCCTGGGGTATGGGGATGCACTACTTTGACCAGAAGCTCTAGTTCTTGATCCTCACAAGTTTACCAGGCTTCTGTGTCTCTCTGGCAAGAAATGAACAACCAGCTTCACCTGTGCCAAATTCCAGCTTTCCGAACACCTCCACAGCATGACCAAGCATGCTACAAGCTATCGTGCCTTGCATTCGGGAGAGACTGAGAACCAGCAACTTAATTTACAAAGGCAACACAACAAAGATGCCCAGCTCCAGGCTACCCTCACTCGCACAGCCCACTCTTCCACTTACTGACGCCGACTAATGCACAGAAGGGGTAGCAATTCATCCAAGCCAGAGGGCTGCAAGTAACACCATTTTTCCTTTAAAAAACTTTTTATTTATGAGGGACTCTTCTGCAACAGGCACTATAAACTTAGTATGGAAGGAGACAGTCCAGAGGCTTCAATGGAAGAGAAGGATGGTGAGATGGGACTCAAAGTGGAGAAAGGGGAAAGGAGAAAGAGAAACTGAGGGGAAGTAAGTTAGGTGGAATCACTGAAACACAGAATAACATGGGTGGACAAGGCCTTTTGCTCACAACATGTCGTTTAGACAAGGCTGGATCAGGCTGCTTAGTTCCTTGTCCAGCTAAGTCCTGAATACTTCTAAAGGTGGAGATCCCAATGCCTCTCTTGGCCTCTGTCCCAGTGAATACCCTCAGGATGAGAAAGCTTTTCCTTATATCTAGTTGGAAATTCTTGTCTCCCACCCTGGTTCAGATAGTTTGTGAAAGCAAGGCACTTATGGAGAAGGGTGCTGCCTCTGACCTGTGTGTTCCTTCTTTTCTCTCCTGCCTTTTATATAACTCATTTAATGCTTCTTTTTTGGCTCTGTTTTTATGCAGTAGCTCTGTTACTGTCTACTTTTCCAATTAGCAGGTATCTAAATTTGATTTAAACCTGATAATTATGCTGTGATCTCACAAAGGCCTTAATTAACCCTATTGATGCCAATAGGTGTGAGGCATACTCTTTAGGACATTAAAAATTTGGTGTTTAATTGCATCCAACATTGAAAAAGGTGCAGGGATCTAGAGAAGTAAATATGTAGCTAATTTAAGCCACTGGTACTAACAGGAGAGGACTTCATGCACTGGATCTCATATACGCCATCCAGACCAGGATTTTCTGCTGTCTTCCACAAGAGAAATAGGAATATACCAGATGCACAAGAAGACTCAGTTGGTCACTGCTATTGCTACAGAAGTTTGCCATGTCCTTTGGCTGTTAGAAATCCTGAATCATGATCTGCACAGTTGGTATGTTTGTGCTCCTCTTCAAGGTCAAGGCATTTCTAGCTGCATTTGCTACCCATCAGCACAATTCCCGTCTACAGAGGTACATCTTCCTCCCTTGCCATCAGTCTTGTCAAACTAAGTCAAATTTAGCCATAGAAAAAAAAGCATTGGTATCTTCTCTGTCTGTACACAGTCTACAGCTTAGGGGAGGGAGGGGACAAAAAGTCCTTTACATATCAAGCTATATAAAAGAAATGTCCTACAATGTCACCACAGGAACACTGATGTCATCCTGTGCTGCCCTTCTGTTTTTATCTTGCCTGTTTATTCATCCCTTAATTCATTGGGTGACTGTGCAGAGCTACCAGGAGACTAAAGTATGTGGGTCCAAAGTAAAGGCAGGTCTTCACTACTTCCCAGGAATGACCAGGGGCAGGTGTTCTGGCAACCTGCAAGCCAGGTTTTATCCTTTTTCAATCTTACTGGAATTTGTCACAGTCAATATGCCAGTAGCTTTCTTCCCTTTCATATCCTTCCCCAGCACCAAATCCTTTGTTCTTTCAGAGCTGTATGACTTTTGGGAAGAACACTGTTATGCCAGTGATTATCACACTGATGATAGCTGCTTAGATGGCACCAGGGAGGAACTGGTCCTGAATTGATGTGCCTTATTCTCAAGCACTTCTTTCTTGTTCATAAGAAGCAGAGGGTTTTATACAGACATAAGAAGCAAAACAGCCTATGGGGAAATGCAGTTGTGGGAAACAGGCTTAAAATAGTCCTGAAATAGGCCTAAAAATGTCTTACAAACCTTTAGCCCAGTCCAGAGGACAAAGTGTGTGTTTGTCTTTCTTTAGGGCTTCACAACACCCAGCTCTAAATGTCACTAGCACGCAGAGGAACAGGAGTGACCATAATGCTCAGAAAATATCCCCATTCGCTACGTCAAACTCTTCCAGCGACACATCAAGCAGCTCTTCACTTTCATCAGAACCAACCAGCCAGATCTCCATGGTTCAGGATCAAACCCTGCTGGACATTGCCTCCATCACTAGATTGGCCCCAGGAGAATCACCAAACCCTCAACCATTTGAGCAAAGAGATAAACATTTAGCAATATCATGTCCCAGCCCACTCGGAGCAAGGAGTATTCCAGCATCTTGCCCAGCCAGCCCCAGGCTCAGTGTAACACCCAGCTCAGCCAAGCCACAGCAATACTCTGACTCTTCTCCAGTCAGTCCAGGGATCAATGCAGCTTCCTTCTATACCTTTTGTCCTCACACAGCACAAAACGTACAAGCTTCAGCATCAGATCACACACTGACCCCAACCAGGAAAAGCACAAGGCCGCCAGCAATGACTCCTGAAGATAGTTCCCAGTCTCCTGGCTATTCTAAAACTGGATTAAAGAATACAGGAAAGGGTTTTGAATCAGATCTGGAAGATCCTGCTCATGAAAGGTATGTATTGAGACCATACACATGTTTAAGTCCTCCAATGACTCAACCTGGCATAGAGTCATTAAGAGCCCCTCATAAAAAAATAAGTACCTCTTATGATTTAGATGCTGACAGTGGCTTTTTATCCAGTAACTACCCTATGCTCCCACTAAACCCTGTTATCTAAGAAGCAAAATACCATATTTTCCATACATTCATTTAGCTCTCCAGCCCTGATTACAGACCATCCCTGGGCCAGACTCAGTCAATCTCAGTTCCTCCAGCAGGACACAGTTTTAAGGTGCCTCATTTCCTTCCAGATGAGAAAGCACATCTCTCCCTATACTAGCAGAGAGAAACTCTGCTGTTACTATGAAGCCTGCCAGACAAGAGCTGGGAATGGTGCTCAGTGACATAGCCAGCATCTCCCTTCCCAATCCTCAGGCTCCGCGGTTCCAACCCTGGGCAAGCTGGGTGGATTTCAGCCCTCTGAGCTTCTGAACTCCACACTGTGTCTGCCACTTCTTTCCTTGGCAGGACATTTGTAACCACGAAGGAATTCCAAGCCATGGAGAAAGAACTAGAGGATGTAAAAGAAGAACTGAAATGCCTGAAGTGGAAAGTGAGACACATTGGTGAGACAGTGCAGCCCTTGGCTGAAGACAGCAAGCGTTACAACGGCTATACCCTGACAGAGCTCAAGGCAATGGTGCAGTTTGAAGATGACCCTTACAAGGCTGCACACAAGATCCTAACTGTGCTCTTCAGTGATGTCTACTTGCTACAGCACTCAGTCACTGAACAGGCCTGCAACTCCCGATCTCTGCCCAAGCCCAAAATAGACCCAGAGCTGTACACGGTGTACTGTGACATTCTGAGGAGCATATTCCCTGGAATTAGCAGCCAGACCTTGAAGGAGGAGACACAACACGTGCAGAAAAGCACCCAGAAAGAACTGCAATAACACCAGAGCCCCCAGGATGTTCTGCAAAGTGAGAAGTGTCTGATGATTTTAGAGGATTAACTGTGGTAGGTACCATCGGTTGAGTCTATCCCTTCTAGGTATGAATCATCTCTAAAGATACTGGTGAGCTCTGAGCCCTTCATGCCACTTGCCCAGTGAGACAGGGTGGGAAGGCATCCTGCACACTTCTGACATTCTAGAAAAAAAATGCCCCTTAGTGTCTTTTTCAACATATGGACGTTTCCTTGTTTCCAGCAACTACAAATGCTGACAAAAAGATCCAGAGAAGGCATTATATGTCCACGCAAGGGCATTCTCCTAGCCCCAAACAGACCAACAAACCAGCATCTGGGTAGTTTCTATTTTCTAGAGTATATCATTCATTAAATGACATTACTTGTTAGAAAATTGTGCCTGGGTTGTTTTGTTTCAAGTTTGGGGTTTGGTTTTTTTTGTTCTGGTTTGGGTTTGGGTTTTTGGTTTTTTTGTCTCACAATGCTTTGCACATGAAATCAACCAATAATCATAACTTGGATACACACTGGGTTGAGACCTGGTCATGCAGCAAACCACACTCCTCTGCCCAGCTGCATCCTGGATTACATGGGAAGAAAACCAGGCACAGAGGCCAGCAGCAGTCCCCATTCTGGGTAACTGGGGGCTGGGGCATAAGAGTGTGCAACACGCCCCTAAATCACCAACCCACCAGTCTGTGACCTCCATCTCTCCCAGCCTCTGACAACTGAGCTGACAGACAAGCTCGCATGTTCACAACCGTGCTTTGCCTTCCCATGACAATGGTGCTGAATGGCTGGGCCCTTGCAAACACCCTGGAGCTCCTTCCTCCTTGTCTGGGACCACCAAAGTGCAATGGATGAACCGCAGTTAATCCATCAGGTTTTGCCCACCAGCCTTGCAGCTCATTTTGTAAAGATCAGGTGAGGGTGGAGGATTGGAGAGATGTTCTTGTGCCATTTTGTTCAGTACCGGTGGAAGATACTGCTTCCTTACCCTGCTGGTTCCCCCACCCCTTTCAGACAATCATTGACACTTCTTAGAAACAGTTGCTTCCCTGGTCTCAATCTGACAGGTACATCAAAACCCAGAACACGTCTGTCCTGCACACTGCTGCTGCTCCCTGCCAGGCCACTGAGGATACCAAGGTGAGCAAAAGGTAACCTGTGAGTTCAGCCTACCTTTCCCTCTGCTGAGATATAATCCAATTCTTAAGCTTATTCCAAAAACAACAGGTAGGAGGAGGGGAAAAAAAGTAGAAAAAAATAAAAGCAGCTCATTCCTTGTGTCATCACAGCTCCAGACATCTTTGGAGATAGGAGGCGGCAGTACACTCCAGGACATGCTCTGTACCTTCTGTATAAGGATGTTCTGACATTTGTATGAGAGACCCTACCTGTCTTTCAGCATGATGTACCTATACTGTTCTCTGCTGGGCTTACAAATACGGTTTTTAAGCTCTTTACTATTAGTAATTTATTTTACTTATGCTCTGATGTGCAGGCACAGGCACAGCACTTTGCCCATGTAGTCTTTCTGTACCAACTACAGCTAAGATGTACAGCCACATCCTACACATTACTAAGTAACTACAGCAACACACAGGGTTGTGCACAGTGTACACCGTTGGGGCAGTCACAGCACCAAAGGAAGGGACAGGTAAAGGATGCTCCCCCCTGGCCTGTCAGCTCCCTTCACAGGTGGGCACAAGGGTGAGAAGAGGAGGAATGAAGCTGCTGGAGATGAAATGTCACCTCAGAGCAAATCACACGCTGGTGAGCACCATGGCGGATTATAACAAATGGCCTGCAAGGCTCCATGCACCATGGAGGAGATGTTTGTGTCTCACACAAGCACCCTCCTGCAAGCATTTATGTTCTACTTTCATAGTTCTTTCTTTTGTAAGAAAACGTGTCACTTTGGTTCAGATGGGTGGGAATAGGCTGGCCCTCCTCTCACAGAACTCACACAGTTACTGCTTCAGACTTGGGTTTATACAACAGACCAGACCCTCAGCCCTCAGAGGTCTCTCTTCAGAGCTCTCCATAATCCTCAATGGGCAAAGAACTGAGGGAAATGCAGTATCAATCTTCATAATTTCTATTGCTTGCCCTCTCTGTCTTTAAAATCTGACAGTTGTTCCTGCAAGAACAGGCTCTGTGGCAGCTCATGTTCATGAAGCCAGACAATATGCTCAGATTATTTCTTTTAGCCTTGTCCTCCTCATGTCTACTAGTAACAAGGTCCTGTACAGGTCTATGCATTATTTTTATTAGCATTTGTCCTGGGTTCAGCTACAGCAGTCATTTTTTCTCCTTCATCAAGCAATCATCAAGCAATGAGTCGCTTTCAGGTTTCAGTGTCATCTTTCTCCTGGATCTGTTGTGATATGGATCACTTCTGCCTATTTTAGAGATGTGCATTAGATCTTTCACCCTGATAGTCCTGGCTTTTAGCTATTCCAGTGGAGTTTCCAGGTTATTTATATCCAGTTAGAGTTGGCCAGTCTTGCCAGACCTTCCATGCATTATTATTAGGTATCTCCAACTTCTGAGTCCTAGAGTCTGCTCCCAATGCCTCATGTGCCGCAGCAGCCCAACTGATCAGCTGCAGGGAACCTGTGAAAAAAGGAACAGGACATACCCATGATATTTGTCCTTTAGACTCCTCACTTCCTTCTTTCCTGAATCCATATCTGGAAGGCAGCTCTGCCTCTGTGAGGACAGTTTGTTCTCCACTTACTATACCTGCAGGTACTGTCTGTACCTATGTGACCATCTCCAGTATTTGAGTCACTTCCCTGATTTTTCTACAGGGAGAAAAATCCACTGATTTTCTACTAATTTTCCTGAGAGCTTCTTCTTGTTTGTATTCCTGTGCATTCCCAAATCCTTTCATCCTTTTACAAGCCTTAGCTTTCCTTGATAGCTTTGCTTACCTAGCTTTGCTGGGGAGAGAAGCGCAGCTGTCTTCCCACAATTCTGAAGAACTTTTCTGTGCCCAGTCTATTTTTTCTGTAGCCACCCACTCCTAACACAACAGGAGGATGAGGGTTGAACGCCTACACCAGCAGAAAGAGCCCTTCTCCTTGGAGGGTAAGAAAACTGAGTCAGCATAACAGAAGTAAGACAACAGTATCTTAAATACATGGGCCTGAAAGGAATTTCTTTGCTTTCACTTTCAGCACCCTGCACTTGCCAGAAATGTGTCCTGTTACAAGCATGCTCTGTCTTAAGACTTTAGGTCTTGCCGCCTGCTATTCAGACAGAAAGGCAATAACATTATTCTGACAGTTAAAAAAGATTCAGCAATTGTTCTTCTTGGACAATCCATGCTGATTTGCACTGTGCCTGCATTGCTCCTTAGCCTAAATAAGCCTTTTCTCCAAAATGTTATCACCATCCCTTGTATAGAGACAGACAGAGAATGCAATCAGACACATAGTGAAAAATTAGTCTAAAT